CAAGGAACTCTCAGCACTGGTCAGCAGTATTTATTTACGCTTCTGTATGTGCATGATGTGATGTGTGTGTGTGTGTGTGTGTGTGTGTGGTGTGGTGTGTGTGTATGATGTGTTACGTCTGTGTGTGTTGTGATATGATGTGCATGTGTTGTGAGATAGGATGTGTGTGTCATGTGTATGTGTGATATGTGTTGTGTGTGATACAATGTGTGTGTGCTGTGTGTATGTGTGTGGTGTATGTGTGTTGTGTGATATGGTATGTGATGTGTGTGATGTGGTTGAACCTGCATCTTTCTCAATCACACCTTACATACTGAGGTGGAGCCTCTCACTTGAACAAAGAACTCTTGATTCACCTTGACTAGCTAGCCGGCTTGCCTCCTGTGAACTGGGATTTTAGGTGGCCGCCACACCCATCCTCCAATTACGTAGGTTCTGGCGATCTGAACTCTGGTCCTCCTGTTCATGCAGCAGGAGTTTTGTTCACTGAGCCTCAACCACTTTCATAGACAAGGACCCTGGAGTTAGGGTATCTTCATAAACGGACGCGTCAGGTTCTCAGGGCTACATTCTTTCCGTGATGGCACCCAAGGCAAGCAAGGACTTCCTTTTTTGTTCACGAATTCCCTTTCAGCACCCCTCCCCACAACCACTCTGCTGGATTTAATATAAATCCTTTTGTTTGGATATATTCTAAAATACAATAGTTGTTTTACATGTATTTTTTAAAGAATTTTCATTTTATTTTTAACCGTGTATGGGCTTGTGCATGTGAACGCAGGCACTCATGGAGGCCAGAAAAAGGCATCAGATCCCCGGGAGCAGGGATCAGAGGTGACGGGGCCATCAACACGGGTGCTGGAACCGAACTCGGGTCCTCTGTAAGAACAGTAAGTGCTCTTAATGGGTATTTTAACTTGTGGAAGTGGTCTCGCGTGGTGTCTTCTCTGCTTTCAGCGTTCATTTCCATCAACCCTGCTGCCCTCCCAGAAGAGGAGTGCATGGCTGGGTTTGGACAGAGGGGAAAAGGTTCTTTTTTAGAGGATGAAGAGGTAGCTTGTGGTTAAAGAGGACTTGCTGCTCTTCCAGTTCAGTTCTATCACTCACATCAGGCTGCTCCAGGGAATCTCATACCTTCTTCTGCCTCTGTGGGCATCTGAACACATACATATCACACATCACTCACACACACACACACACACACACACACACACACACACACACACCTTAAGCCTGGCATGGTGGCGCACACCTTTAATCCCAGCACTCAGGAGGCAGAGGCAGGCAGATCTCTGAGTTCGAGGCCAGCCTGGTCTATAAAGTGAGTTCCAGAACCGTCAGGGCTGCACAGTGAGACTATCTCAACAAAGATTTTTTAAACAAGTAGGCAGCTGAGCACAGCTGTCCACAGCCTGAAATTCAATCTCTACCACATACCTTCCTCCATACACGCAAAGAAACCCTTGTTTTCCCCAAGTGTCTGGGTATCCTCAGGGCCTGGACATCCCCCCCACACCTCCCCCAGCTTCTTCTGTTCTCCACCCTCCTTGCTCCAAAAGTTGTCCGAGAGGCTGGACCTCAGCTGGTTTTCAAAGGGAGAAGAGCGGCGTCAGTCTCCTATTTTTATACTTAGAAATGTTCTGCAAACCACTTCCCGAGCAGCCGAGGGAGCGGAATGTGAGGAAATCGCTTTGCTATGTCATAATGTGGAAGGTCTCTGGCAAGCTGCCTCTGCCGCATGGCCGGGGACACAAGAGCTGGGATGGCGAGCACATGTGGCCCCCTTGGCAGCTCGGCTGTCCTCTAGAGGCAGGGCCCAGGAGTCCAGTCACACACAGTCCCTTCCCCGACTTCCTCTCCAGAGAAGAGTCAACCCCCTGCCTTACCAACGGCTGCCCCAAAGATCTAAGAGGTCGGACACCTGGACAACCTGGGCACCAAGGGGAGAATCTGGATGGAGGGGAAGCAGGGCCGCCTGGGAGTGCTGGTGGGTTGGGTTATACTCCTGGGTGCTGGGGGCAGGACTGGGTGTGGCCTCTGCCCGAGCACCGAACACTCTGTGACTTCTGCTACCACCGTGGCCGGAAAATGTTGACTCTGATGTACGAGAGACGTGGGCAAAGCCTTGTAACACCATTACATGCAGCCATGACTGCGGTTCAGCTGCCACTCAGGGGGAGAGTCCTGTCCGCCCACACTAGATGGAGGGGGCATCTGTGGCCTGGTGGGCCAGCTGTTTGTTTAGAGTCAGGCCATTCTTCAAATACTTCCAACTTCTCAAAAACACCATCGCCCGGCTCCTATGAGGAACGCTTAACCACATTACTAATGACAGGATTTTTTTTATTCATTCATTCATTCATTCACTCATTCATCATTCATTCATTCATTCGGTTTCCTCTGCAGTGCTGGGGATTAAACCCTGAGCCTTGTGCATGCCAGGCAAACACTTCATCGCTGGGCTAAAGCAAAGGCTCAGTGGTTAACAGCCCCCCCAGCTGCTCCTGCAGAGGACCCAGGTTCCTTCCCTGGCACCCACATGGAGGCTCACAACCATCCTTAACTCTAGTTCCAGGGGATCCGGTGCCCTCTTATTTTTAAATTTATATTTACACATGTGTGTACGTATGCTACATGTGTGTGCAGGTGCCCATAAAGGCCAGCAGAGGGTGTCGGACTTCCCGGAGCTGGAGCTACAGCCGCTGTGAGCCACTGATGAAAGTGCTGGGAACACAACCCAGGTCCTCTAGACCTGGCAGTGCCTTCAACCACTGGGCCATCTCTCCAGCTCCTCACTACTACTCACTGCTTTACTTCAAAAAAGCTTTCTGGAAAAAAGCAACACACTCGTACACACACACACACACACACACACACACACACACACACACACACACACACACTTTCCCTCCCAAAAGCAACACTTTAAAAATACATCATTTAGCCGGGTGGTGGCACATGCCTTTTAATCCCAGCACTCAGGAGGCAGAGGCAGGCGGATTTCTCTGAGTTCAAGGCCAGCCTGGTCTACAGAGTGAGTTCCAGGACAGGCTCCAAAGCTACACAGAGAAACCCTGTCTCGAAAAACCAAAATAAATAAATAAATAAATAAATAAAGCGTCATTCAGCATTCTGGCTGAAGATGGCAAAGTAAGGATTTTAATTCCTAAATCAATAACAAAAGACAAAAAAGAAAAACAAAAAACAAAACAAGTCAACTGTTGTAGAACGGAAACAACTCCTTAAAGTAACTTTTAAAAAGCACCCAAACCGTGCAGCTCAGGGCCAGATGCTTTCAGCCTGGGGTGGCCTACCCTGGGGGCAAACATCATAAAGCAGTAGAGCGAGCACACACACACACACACACACACACACACACACACACACACACACACACAC